AGATGGCATGGAGTGCATGCATTGCTCAGCAAGTTTGCAGACAACACCAAGCTGGGGGGTGGGGGGGAGATAGTAGATATGTTGGAGGGCTAGGATTCAGAGTGACCTAGACAAATTGGAGGATTGGGCCAAGAGAATCTCACAAGGTTCAACGAGGACAAGTGCAAAGTCCTGCACTTATTGGTATAGGCTGGGGGCTGACTGGCTGGGGAGCAGCTCTGCAGAAAAGGACCTGGGGGTTATAGTGGACAATGAGCTGAATATGAGCCAACAGTGTGTCATTGTTGCAAAGAAGGCCAACAGTGTACTGGGCTACATTGGTAGGTGTGTTGCCAGCAGGTCAAAGGAAATAATTATTTCCCTCTAATCAGCGCTTGTCAGGCCACATCTGGAGTTAACCATGTTCAGTTTGGGATGCCCACTACAGAAAGGATGTGGACAAATTGGAGAGAGTCCAACAGAGGGCAAAAGAAATGGTGAGAAGGCTAAGGCACATAACTTCTGAAGAGGGGCTTAGGGAACTGGGTTTATTAAGAGAATACTGAAGAGGGATTTAATAGCAGCCTTCAATTACCTGAAATGGGCTTTCAAAAAGAGAATGGAGCTAGATGGTTCTCAATGCAAGGTGACAAATGACAGAACAAGGAGCAATGGTCTCAAGTTGCAGCAAGGGAAGTTTAGGTTACATATTAGGAAGAATTTTCTCACTAGGAGGGCAGTAAAACACTGGAACAGGTTACCCAGAGACATGGGGGAAGCTCCATCCTTGGAGGTTTTCAAGACCTGGGTAGGCAGAGCTTTGGGTGGGATGATCTAGTTGGGGATGGTCCTGCTTTGAGCAAGGCGTTGGACTAGATGACCTCCTGAGATCCCTTCCAACCCTAATTTTCTCTGATTTCTCCATTTTCACATTGCAACACTATGCCAATATGTGGGTGTAGTTGGCTTCTGACATAAGGCTACAGAATCTTTAAGCAGTTACTTGTTGTGATGGTACAGCAGCAGTCCATCAGTCCTGCAGGGCAGCTAATAACAGCTCAGTCTAATAACAGCTGTCCTAATTACATCAGTATTTACCTGGCTCAAATTCTACTGCCTCTATTAAGTGCATAAATGGACTTCAGGAAGACAAATCCTTAGACCAGTGGTCACATACCAGTGGATCTCAATCCACTGGTAGATCTTGGAGCCTCTTGCAGTAGATCGTGGAGCCTCTTGGAGTCGATCTGAGGCTGGGGTGGGGGGTTGCATGCACACGTGCATGCACGCATGTGCCCCAGCCCATCAGGTCAGTCCATGGGGGAGGGAAGGGGCAGGGTACCCTGCCCTTTCCGCACCAGATGTTATGAGTTTACTCATATCAGGTCTCATCTATGGGAGCTTTGGCCCCTCAGTTATTTTGGCCAGATTCTAGGGGTCTTGTTCCTCACTCCCAGTCACTTGCCCTGTTCTTTCCCACATGGGTGGGAAGCCAAGCTGGGGTCCTCTTCTTGCCTTTGCCTCCCCTGGATCGACAGTGGCTGCCTGCTCGGCATCTCTTTAAATCCCCGCTCCGATCAGCTGCGGTTGCCATAGCAGCGTCCCATTCACCGTCATCCTGGCTCTTGCAGATGATTGGGCTAATTACCATCCGGGTCTTCCACACAGTTCCTTCCTTGCCTGGGTTTGCCGCACCTCCGCGTCCCATCCGGGCTTGCTTGGGTAAGTTGTTCCTCCTCATTTGTTCTTTTGGGGTTTCGTGGCAAGGCAGGTCTACTGCCCTGTCACAACATGCACCAAAACCATTGTGCCAGGGCTCTATACCAGTAGGTCATCAGCAGGGCTTTGCTGATCTCCAGGGACAATTTCCTTAATTCCACATTTGCATTATCCCCAGAAGGCAAAGCAGTAACATTACAGATTTACAACAGCTGGCAAGAATGAAAGAGCTGACATTAAAGAAAAGTTTATTAGGGAAGAAGGGTACAAATGAGTCTGATCAATGAAGGACAATGCAAATGTGCTGTCTTCGCTTTGCCAGCACCAATGTGTTATGGCTCAGAGGCTCAAACTCAGCAGATAAAGACAGGTTATTTATCTCCAAACATATAGACAAGGGCCCAAGAGGCATTTGTTTAAGAAAAGAACAAAACAGTAAACTTCAAAGGCAAACTGGCCCAACAGCATAGCCCTAATATCATCTCTGGATGGTCAGAACTGCAGATCTAGACAGGCTGGGAACCACACCAGATCTCCCAGACTTCGCTAGTTAGTTTCCCCTCTGTTCTTAAAGAATTACATAAAAACAGAGTGGCTCGAAAAACACAGACAAAAGAAAAAAATAAAAATGAAAATTCACTTTTCACATATGCTGCCCTAATTCTAGCCAGTTCACAATCTCCTCAGTCAGTGGCACAACTAGGGTGGAGTAACCAGGGCAGCTGTGCCAGGAGCCAACTGGTTGGGGGAGGGAGGAGTTGTCACTGCTCCTGTGTACAGCACCTGCCCCAGCTGCCCACCTGTGTCATTACACAACTGTCCCCAGTTCACAATCTTTCCTCACTTCTACTGTCAGGACTTTCCAGGGTCCTGCGACCCTATCTCCATGTCCTAGTCTGCTGATGTTTACCCCTATTTGGAACTACATTTTGACATGTTCTTAATTTGCCCAAATCGGGACCAAAGGAATAAAAACCACACCATTCTCTTCTCACTTCTGTCATTTTGTAGACCCTGATTCAGCAAACTGCCACCACCTAGGATTCACATTAAAAATTTGAGCTGTCACACACTTTTAAACTCAAGTGGGTCACAGAAATGGAGGCCTTAGGACATTGTCATCACCACTCAACCTCTTTTGTTCTAAGGAAACCATTGGAGTGCACGTGGGTGCACATGCACCCCCTGAAATCGGCTGGGCACCCCCTGGAAGCACCACCTGCAAAACCAGAAGTGCACTTCTGGTTTCGCCGCTGGTGGTTCCGTGCTCAACAATCTGGTGCCCCCCAAACTCGAGAGGCACCAGTCGCCCATGAAGAAAACAGTTGGTTGTGGAGAAGCTAAGATCATATCCTGTCCATTAGCAAAAGCTGCATTCCTGTAAATAAAGACTCTTTCCCCCTTTTGCTGCTGATCTTTATTTGTTTTGCAATGAGGACCAAGCTTTTGGACTGCTGCAACTGATTGCATGTGAAGATATGCAGGTATGAGAGTGCCATCTAGCAACCAAAAACCTTATGACAGTCAAATAGATAAAGATACAAAAGAATGCTCAGTGTTAGGGGCTATAGAGTCATGTAACAGAGACTGGCTCCTCGTAACCAATTTAGGGCCCAAATTGTGTCGTGCATTGGGTTTTACCATACAAGCAACAGAAGTAAGTTTCAGTTACTACTGTCACCAAGACATGCCAGGGTCTCTGTGGCCTTATCTCTGTCCCCTAGTATTGTACAACAATGAAAGAAGCCAGCCTATACCCCCAGAGCCCTGCCCAGCGGTCACTGCTCACCTGGTGCACGGGTATCACAAGGAAGGCCCCACCACCTGCACACTCCGTCACCACAGCAATGAAGTGGGGGTTGACAGCACAGAAGTGGTTGTCGTGGACGCTGCGTGTGATGGGCACACAGTCATAGCACTTCTCCTTGCTGGCTGGCTTGCCGTAGACGTGACGGAACTTGGAACTCCGGTACTGAGGGTGCCATGACATCTGGAGTGGGCAAAACATAAAATGGGTGGTAAGGATGGGGCCTTTCACTGGTGCTGTGCAATGCTGGCTCAGGCTTGAAACGTATCCCTGGAATCAGCAGGGCTAGTGCAACCCGTGAGCCTCCACCCGTTTATGCCCATGATGCATTCAGAACCCCAGATATTCAGGAACCAGGTTCTGACCAGACTTACTGTCTCTGCCCATGACCACAGTTCCCCTTTCAGAACACTTGTGAGCCTTTTCTCCTTTATCTCATATCTGCTCACCAGTCTCTTCCCAAAACTAGAAGGGAGGCCAAGAGCCACATCCAGGCAGAAGCCCCACCATAAAGTGAACAGCAGGGCTTTAGGAAAAGAGACAGCCACTGAGCACTCCTTCTGGAAACTAGCCCAACCAGCTCCAACACACAATACTGTAAATGAGGCGGGGAAGTGGGGACAAGCATGCCATCAGCCCCAGACGGCCAATCTAGAACACAGCAAAAATGGCAGCTGCTGCCAGCCTGGCCATCACTCAGGGCACAGAAATTGCTTGTTATGGCTCTGCCCAACTCATCCTCCCAGATGGTCCCGAAAAGGCTCCTCCACAGTCCAGCAGGCCAGCTTTGATGGGGATTAAGCCATCAACAATGAATTCAAGAGGAGAGACCAACTGAATCCAGCTCTACATCATCTCAAGCAACAACAGACTAAGGCACCACAAATGACTTGAGCAGCTGAGACCTGTGCCATGCCTGGGACGGCCAATTTCTTTCATAAATGTGGCTCTCCCACCACCTCTCTCCCTGCCCTCAGCAGCACCTGTGGAGACAATGCTGTATAGATCCAGGTGACATCTGTGACTGACTATAACACGTTCTCAGCTTCGCCTCAGCACTGCCTGACACTACATTGAGAACTCAATGGGTAAGAAAGCACCTTCTCCCTCTCTAATGAACTTCTACAATATTGCCCAAGAAAATGTCGCATGAGACCCCAAAGGCCTCCAGCACAAAGAGGGAAGCACTCTAGTACATTAGCCCAAAAAAGGCTAGGACTCTTCAGTTTGGAAAGAAGAAGGCTGAGGGGGGATATGATAGAGGTCTATAAATCATGAAGAGTGTGGACCAAGTAAATAGGGAACTGTTGTTCACCAAGTCCCAGAATACTAGAACTAGGGGACACCCACTGAAATTAGCAGGTGACAGGTTTAAAACTAACAGGAGAAAGTACTTTTTTATACAATCATAGTTAACTTACAGCATTCATTGCCACAGGAAGTGGTGGAGGCAGATAGCATAGCCACTTTCAAAAAAGGGCCTGGATAAATTCATTTATGATAGATCTTTTAATGGCTACTGAACAGAGTGATTGGAGAGGTTTCCGCTGGTATCTCTAAACCAGGAGTGGGCAAAAGATGGCCCTCGGGCTACATCTGGCCCAGAGGGATTTTGTTCAGCCTGCAGCAGGTCCCTTGATCCTGCTTGGCCCAGGTTCAGGGGGCATCCCAGGCTGTTGCATTTCTGGCTGGTCCCACCACCCCTGGATGCGCCCTGGGGCCGTGGGCCACAGCAGCTGGACTCCATGTCCTGGCAGCTCCAGCAGTGGCGGCTCCTTCCAGATGCCACATCCACTGGCCCCAGGGGCTCCTTCTGGCTGCAGCAGCTGCTGGCCCCAGCCCCGCTGCCTGGGGCAGCCCAGTGATGTGCTCTGCACCCAACACAGGGGGCAGGACCTGAGTGGCCAGGGCACTCAGCTGGGCAGCTGAGAAGGATGTGTGGGCAGGTGGAAAGCAGTGTTCAGGAGCTAGACAGGCAGATGGGGCCAGGGAGATGCCAGGATCTTGAGGCAGCAACTTCGTGGGGCTGGGTCCCAGGGCAGAGCCACTAATCTGCAGCCTACATGCACCTGTGATGGATGTGGGTTCTGTGAGCAAGGGCATGCAGGGAGCAGATTGCACCTCTGCCCCAGCCCCAATCCTGTCCCCACGCTGTCACTGCCCAAAATCCCAGCACTGGCCCTGGACGCAGATCCCCACCTGGATCCAGCCCCATCCTGTCCACCCAGCCACATGCCTTGCCCACACGGCTCCCAGCCAGTCCCTATGGAGACCCTTGGATTGTGGGGTGGTGACAGGGTGGGGCCAGGGCAGAGCAATGATGTGCTCCCTGCATGTTGCTGCCTGCAGACCTTGGCCCCAGCCCCATGCTGCCACCACCCTACAATCCTGGGGTCTGCATGGAGACTGGTTGGGTGCCCCATGGACAGGGAACATGGCCGGGCAGATGGACATCTACATCTGGGGCCGGGGCTGGGATAGCACAGGATGGGGTGACAGCGCAGGCTGCAGTGACAGCAGACCATGGTGACAGCATGGGGCCGGGGCCAGGGCAGAGGTGCAATCTGCTCCCTGCATGCCCCTGCCTGTGGAGCCCGTATCCATCTCAGGGCTGGGCAGGCAGAAGATTGCGGCTCTGCCCCGCATCCTGGCCCCAGCCTTGCACTGTCACCACCTCATGACTCTGTCCCATGATCCTGGCCTCACCCACCTGTTCTGTTCCAGAACACTGCTCCCTGCCTGTCCATGGCCCCATCCCATGTAGGTAGCTTTGGTGAGCTGTTGCATGGGGGAGTTGGGAAGGTGCTGACTTGGCCCACTACAGCCCAGCAAAACTCCCTATATGGCCCGCAGGCCCAAATAATTACCTACTCCTGCTCTAAACCAATAATGGTGGATGCTAGGGAGGATACTGAATAGGGGATAGATTACCCTAGAGATACCCAGTTCAGTACTCCTCCCACTATAGCATCCATTTTTGCTGCTGTTGGAAACAGAATATTGGACTAGATGGAGCACTGGTCTGACCCAGTATGACACTTATGTTCTTAAATGATGGGCTGTACTCACAGAAATGAGTGGCACAAAACTTAATAGGAACAGCCACATTCATCCATTTTTAATGCTAGAATGACAGTCTGCTGGGTAAGACCCTTCATCAGAGAACAGCCCATAACACTTACATCCTGTCCTGGTTCTGTGGAAGAGTACAGTGAGGTACAAAATAATTAACCTTTCCTACTGCAAACAGGGAATAAAGCTCTTTCTGTCAACTCTGGTCAAAACCACCACCCCCAGTCCCTCACACCACTAAAGCAATGGTTACTGCTGGATGTTGTAGGACTTGGTACCACCTGTGAAATGCAGAAGTCATGCTGCTGCATGAGGAATCCAGTGCAGGAACACTTCCAAGCGTGGGAGACCAAGGACAGAAACAGCTCCAGCATAGACATACAGCAAGTACAGACATGTACAAACTCTCCTGGGAGTGATTTAACCCTGTTTATTCCCAGGTTATTTTTGCCTTGGAGTGGCCATTTTTACTGTGGGAGAAACAGCTTGAATATCTGTACACTTGTGGCTTCTCCTGGGAGAATGTCTGTCCAAGGCCAAAACCTGGATTTGACCACCCAAGCTGTGAGATGGGACTGTGCACCTGTCCAAGGCTGGGAAAACTTACATTAGAAATCAGATCTCTGGAATTTGAGCAAAGTGAACTCATATCTGATTTGGATTTCATTTGCAGCTAATGATTAAGGCATTATCATTAGCAGGTAAAGGCAACGGCAGGAAACAAATCTCACAGGTCCAGCCTATGGAAATTCCCTTTACAGATATGGCCCAGGTTTGGGTTGGGGTTACAAACAAATGCTTTGTAGGAAGTAGCTGGTCTGCAGTGAACAGGTTGTTGCACCTCCCTCCCTCCTCTCCCCCTCTCCACCCAGGTAAAACAAACAACACTTATAGGCTGTGATAGTTTTCCAGAAAAGGAAAAATGGAGAAACAGTTGAAACCTGTCTTGAGTCACATGTTTTTGGGGGGAATCTTAGCTATGGAAGTGCTTGTGAACTGAGGGGGAACTGTTGCATTTGCAAATCATGAGATAAGCTGAGGACTGCTGAGCTGAAACTGAACTGGGAATGCTGAAGCCATCTAGGTAGGCTAGCTGCAAGCATACAAAGGTGGGTTTCTGAGATATGAAAAATATCACACAAGGCAAACAGATCTTCACTTGTTCATGTCCTCTTCATAAGAACCCCAGAGAACACCAGGTGTGTTACTTCATGCACAGATCTAAGCAGGATAGAAAAATGATTTAAACCTTGACTCATTTGCCATCAGGGTCTGTCTATACCACATACAGTGCGTGTCTGGGAAGCTGATCACAAACACACTCCATGCACCCACTCCCACTCACCTGCATCAAAAACTCTGGAAATGCAGAAGAGAAACTGGTCCAAGACTGCCCCACTGTGGCCATTCACATGTGCATGGAAGACGAGCGTTTCCAAAGTAACCACAGGGGAGTGTCCTTGAATGACTTATATCCCCATTTCTTGGGTTTGCATATGAGAGCAGGAGTGCATGGGTGGGGCATATGCTGGGACCATCCCTCAGGGACAAGCTGGTACTGTAGTGCAGGCATACCCCAAGGAACTTTATAGTGCTTAGTCCAGTAGAGCATCACCATCTTTCACTATTTTATCACAGGCCTGAAATGCCAGAGCTGAAGTCCCAAGTACAGGAACAAAGAGATCAGCAAGAGAATCTCAGCCTCTGTTGAGAACCACACATGATTCTAGCCTTCGTCATGGCAGCAAAAGGCTCAGTAACATGACAGGTGAGGATCCAGCATCTCAGTAGTCTGTGGGGAAATCTGAAATTGGTTGTTTCTAAATTCTTGAGCTTTTTAAGCCCAAGCCGTGACTTTTGGGGGACCTGACTCCTGATTCTAGAATACTTGGGCTGCTCAGTGCCGCTGACAAAACCACTGGTCTTTCTGGCTGTTATGCTCACCATTTTCTAAACCATGTTAAGTAATTTGCATCACACAGTACAAATCAAATTTCAATTCAAATGAACAGTTAATAGACAATCATTGACCATCAGGGAGGCTTTTGTGCATTTCTACAGTAAAGACAGCAGCGGGCATCTGGTGCTACACCAGGTGGTGGGCATGAGCA